TCTTTCTTTCTTTCTTTCTTTCTTTCTTTCTTTCTTTCTTTCTTTCTCTCCTCTTCATCCTCCTCATTCTTCTCCTCCTTTGTCAGAAATGTCACTAACATGGTTAAACATTGAATGTTTTCTCCTTAAAAACAAGAAAAGACTAGCATATCCACTCCAGCATCTTTGTTCAACATTATAATAGATGTCCAATCAAGAAACATTGATTGTGGTGTTTCCAGATTCTGGCTATTATGAATAGAGCTGATACAAACATGGTTGAGCAAATGTCCTTGTTGTATATTTGAGCGTGTTATGGATATATGCCTAGGAGTGGTATAGCTAAATCTTGAGGTAGCGCTTTTTCTAATTGTTTGAGAAAGTGCATTTTTAATTGGATTATTTTGATTGTTGCTGTTTAATTTCTTGAGTTCTTTATATATTTTGGATATTAACCATCTCTCAGATGTAGGGTTGGCAAAGATCTTTTCCCAATCTGTAGGCTGTTTTGTTCTATTGGTCGTGTCCTTTATTTCACAGAAGCTTTTCAGTTTTCATGAGGTCCCCTTTATTGATTTTTTGATCATAGAGCCTGTGCTCTTGGTATTTTGTTCAGGAAGTCATCTCTGCCAATGAGTTCAAGCCCTTCCTCAGTTTTCTTCTAACAGATTTAATGTGTCTGGTTTTATGTTGAGGTCTTTGATCCACTTAGACTTTATTTTGTGCAGGTTGATAATTATGGATCTATTTGCATTTTTCTACATGTAGACACCCAGTTGGTCCATTTGTTCAAGATTCTGTCTTCTTCTGATTGTGTGGTTTTGGCTTCTTTGTCAATACTCAGGTGTCCATAGTTGTGTGGATTTATTTCTCGGTCTTCAATTAGATTCTATTGATCAAGTAAGTTTCAATGCCAGTACCATGCCATTTTTATTACTGTTGCTCTATAGTATAACTTGAAATCAGGGATGGAGACACCTCCAGAAGATCTTTTATTGTAAGGACTGTTTTAGCTATTGTGGTATTTTTTTTACATATCAAATTAAAAAATGTTCTTTCAAGGTCTGTAAAAAATTGTGCTGGAGTTTTGATGGAAATTGCACTGAATCTGTAGATTTATTTTAGTAGGATGGCTGTTTTTTACCATGTTAATTCTTCTAATCTATGAGCATGGGAGATCTTTCTGTTTTCTGGTACTTTCTTCAAGATTTTTTTTTCAGAGACTTGACGCTTTTTTTCATAATGGTCTTTCCTCGCTTGGTTAGAGTTATACCAGGACACTTTACATTATTTGTGGCTATTGTGAAGGGTATTATTTCCCTAATTTTTTTCTCTGCCATTTTGTCTTTCTTTTATTTTTATTAATTACACTTTATTAACTTTGTATCCCACCTGTAGCCTCCTCCCCTTTCCCCTCCCAATTTTACCCTCCCTCCCTCTTCTCAACCCACACCTCTCCCAGAGTTCACTGATAAGGGAGGTCCTCCTCCCCTTCCATCTGATCCTAGGCTATCAGGTCTCATCAAGAGTGGCTGTATTGTCTTCCTTTGTGTCCTGGTAAGGCTACACCACCCTGAGGGGGAGGTGATCAAAGAGCACCAATCAGTTTATGTCAGAGACAGTCCCTGTTCCCATTACTAGCGAACCCAATTGAACCCTGAGCTGCCATGGGCTAGATCTGTGCAGGGGTTCTAGGTTATCTCCATGAATGGTCCTTGGTTGGAGTATCAGTCTCAGAAAACACCCATATCCAGATGTTTTGGTTCTTTTGCTCTTCTTGTGGAGCTCCTGTCCCCTCCAGGTTTTTGTGTCTCCCCCTTCTTTCATAAGATTCGCTGCACTCTGCCCAAAGATTGGCTATAAGTCTCAACATCTTCTTTGATACCTGCAGGGTTGAGTCTTTCAGAGGCCCTTTTTGCAAGGCTCCTATCCTGTTCCCTGCCCCCCCCTTCTGATGCCCTTCTTCTTTGTCTTTATGAATGAAGACTGAGCATCTTACCCAGATTACTCCTCATTGATGAGCTTCTTTAGGTTTCAGATTTTAGTTTGTTTATCCAATATTGTATGTCTAATATCCATTTATGAAGGATATAACCTATGTGTCTTTCTGCTTCTAGGATACCTCACTCATGATGATCTTTTCTAGTTCCCACCATTTGTTGCAAAGTTCATGATTTCCTTGTTTTTGTAATTGCTGTGTAGTATTCCAGTGTGTAACTGTACCACAATTTCTGTATCTGTTCCTCAACTGAGGGGCATCTGGGTTGTTTCCAGCCTCTGGCTATTACAAATAAAGCTGCTACAAACATGGTTGAGCAAATGTCCTTGTTGTATACTTGAGCATCTCTTGGATAAATGCCTAGGAGTGGTATAGCTGGGTCTTGAGGTAGCAGCATTTCTAATTGTCAGAGAAAGCTCCAGATTGACTTCCAAAGTGGTTGTACAAGTTTACATTCCCACCATCAATGGAGGAGGGTTCCCCTTTCTCCACATCCTCTCCAGCCTTTGTTGTCACTTGAGTTTTTTATCTTAGCCATTTTAATGGGTGTAAGGTGAAATCTCAGGGTTGTTTTGATTGCATTTCCCTGATGACTAAAGACATTGAACATCTCTTTAAGTGTTTCTCTACTATTTGATATGCCACTGCTGAGAATTCTCTGTTTAGCTCTGAATCCCATTTTTTAATTGGATTACTTGATTTGTTGCTGTTTAGGTATCTTCAGGACTGGCTGCAAAGTCCTCCCCTGTGGCCCAGCAGGGCTGCTCCTCCCTTGATGGGGGGAGGTCAAAGGGCCCGCCACTGAGTTCATGTCAAAATAGTCCCTGTTCATACTGAAATCTATACACCTAAAGAAGATAAGAAAGAAAGAGGACCAGGGGTAAGATGATCAATCCTCACTTTGAAAGACAAATCAGATGGACATTGGATGTAGGAGAAAGCAAGTAACAGGACAGGAACCTACCACAGAGGGTCTCTGAAAGACTGCATTATTCTGTTATTTTTACTATGTTAATCCTGCAAAGCCATGAGCATGGGAGAGCTTTCCATTTTCTGATATTGTCTTCTATTTCTTTCTTTAGACTGGAATTTTTTTTTCATACAAGTCTTTGACTTGCTTGGTTAGAGTCATACAAAAGTACTTTATGTCCTTTGTGGCTATTGTGAAGGGTGTTGTTTTCCTAATTTCTTTCTCGGCCCTTTCCTCTTTTGTATACAGGAGGGCT